TTATTATTTGCCTTGGAAATGGGCGATGTTTGATGCGACATCATAAAGATTAACTGATCCCCCCATAAGCCTATCTCTATCCTCTAATTACTAGTGGTTTTTACCTTTCCAGTTTTTGTGACCCCCCCCTTGATATCCTCCAACCCCAACCCCCGGCGATAAATTATGACTGGTCCCTTAGCAAGCCTAAATCAGTGTTTGGTGGCCCGAAAGCTCAGTTAAAAACACTTTCTTAACATGGAAGAAGATTTATGATCTGAATAATGTGTTTCCCATAGGTTTAGAGACCTCATGCATTGTCATCCCAAGTCATCAATGCAACATTTCGTCTTAAAACTTAAAATACACGAGATGATTCCCAAGTGATATGAATTGAAGCAACAAAAAGGCAAAAGTTCTTTTTAAAATATTATGCATATTTGTCGATTCTGCGCTGGTCACTGGTCTCATGTTTTGGAAGGAGCTCTCTTTATCAGGATAATCAGGCTGTCAAGACAAATTTCAACAATTCCAAAATCCAAATCAATCAGGTGTCTGAGGGTATTCAAAAAGACCAGTCGCTGAGTAACTCATGGAAAAAAGCTTACCTAACATGATCGAGTTTGTTGAGTACTTGTCCAACAGATTTGTTCTCTTCAAATCCCAATATGCGTTTAGGTCGTGAGCCATATACAACTGCTCCTACTCTTGCTTCTTGTTTAGAAATGGCTAAGGAACTTACGAATGATTTAACAAAGTCTATGATGAGTTGGAAATTCTTCTCTCCAATGCTGCCTGAGCCATCAATCACAAACCCGATGTCCAATGGAGCATGGCATACTGTGGGGTAAGATCAATATGTTAATCAATTAATGGGGCTGGTCATGCTTTGGCTTTTTTTCTGGACTTTAAATTGACGTTGCCTTGGCTATCAATCATGTATTAGAACTCCAATCTAACATGTCAGTTTATAGTATGGTGACTGGAATGGACTTTCCTTGAGCTTTTGCTGTCTGCTCAGTAATGATTTGCCACGCTTCAGGAAAGGTTCAGCTGGAAAAGCTTTGAACTACATAGATGAATGGTTCATGGCCAAATGTGTACACCATACAAAGTCAACTTGCTTCAATGTCAAGGTCACTTTAACGGCAATATTTCCTTGCAGGATGCATGGTTCATGGCCAAATGTGTACACCACACAATGTCAACTTGCTTCATTATCAAGGTCACTTTAACGGCAACATTTCCCTGCAGGATGCATGGTTCGTGGCCAAATGTGTACACCACACAATGTCAACTTGCTTCATTATCAAGGTCACTTTAACGGCAAAATTTCCTTGCAGGATGCATGGTTCATGGCCAAATGTGTACACCACACAATGTCAACTTGCTTCATTATCAAGGTCACTTTAACGGCAGCATTTCCTTGCAGGATGCATGGTTCATCGTCAAACACTTGGAGCCACATAGTGGGAAAAGCCTAGACTGCGATTATGTAAGCCGTGTAGCATTTTAGCCTTTTTATTTGCTTTACAATTAACTTTACATTTTTTATTATTATCCTTAACCTTTAGCCTTTCGTATCTGCTTTATCATTGATTGTTATTTGACTAATATAAGGTATTATTTTCGCTCATTGTGTACATTCTTTCTTATATTTTGCGTTATAATTATAATATATCCTTATTAAAATCGTCGTTATTAACATTATTCAATATCATCTCCATCATCATCATCATCAACATCCATCATCATCATTATCATCGTCAACATTTATCACCATCACCATTAACACCACTATCTAATGTCATCAACATCATCATCATCATCGTCATCTCTATCATTAACATCACCATCATGGCTGACACCATTACCATCATCTGATATCATCACCAACATCATTATCACTATCATCATATATAAACACTACCATCACCAATAACACCACCATCTAATTTCGACATCATCAACATCATTATCATCATTATCAACTCTATCATCACCATTAACGCCCACCTAATTTCATCATTGTCATCGTCATCATCAACACTACCATTATCACCATCTTAGTTTATTATCATCATCATCATCATTGTTATCACCATCACCATAGTTACGTTATCATTATCAGCAGCAGCAGCATGTCAGCATTCATCAATGCACGAAGATCGTGTTCTTCTTTCGCCCTCGATATTATTCAATCTACACATTATTACAAAAAAATATTGATCTTGTTACCTCATAAAACAACTTTTTAACTTACCTGGTCTTGTAGGTTTTGTGACGGGAGGGGTTGGTACTAAAAAAGGACAACGAAAATTAGAAAAATAGATATCAAAAATAATAATATAATCTGATTATTAAACTCTATCTATAATTCTTAATTTCTTTTTTTAGCAGTGAGTGCAAAAACTGTGCAGAAAGTTTCTATTGTTTGGTACACCAATACAGCTTCATTGTCACATGAGTAAAAACACTCTATGAAAATATTGAGCGAAACTTACCACGACGGAAGCACGTCATCATTTTTGATCTGATCTCCGCTGCGTTCAAAGCTCTCCTAAACACTTGTACACAAGAAATACGACCTCTGAAGCGACGACGATCTCCGGGTTTTACACCAATAACAACTGGGTAATTCGTGGCTAGACCAGAAAATAATTTACCAACGTTTCGTTGAACTATAGGTGCAGCGCTTCTCCACAGAGTAGCCAGACCTGTTCTAGCATCATAGGTTGCTGTGATGAAGTTCCATTTTCGTGGGGTTATTGCGCGGCTAATGATATGAGGAACTCGTTTCCTTTTGCGTCCAACAAATCGTACAAATAACTCATTTGGTTTTGTCATCCACAGATGTACTCCCCACCCTCCAGGATTGTAATGGAACAAGGGTCCACTGCTTTCAGGATACACCCACATCATGATTGTGATAGACTGTTCGGTATCTAAGCAACCAGTGTTTGGGATGCGTACATGACTATACACTTTCCCGCTGAAGTAGATAGCGCCTTTAGGATGGTTATCTGGACCAGAGACGTAACGGATTCCAGAGAATACAGCTTGTGGGTTCTTATTTCTGCTGATGTCTTTCTTGAGGACTGCACCGTTGAACGGATACAGGGCCACTGCTCCTCTATTGACTGTCACTAAGAAAGAAGAGTAAATATATGTATCGGCTAAAACAATGGATATATATAACACAGGCACATTAGCATAAGAAGAATAACTTAACACATACTGTTATAATGTCCTTAAAAGAGTCACACCAAAAAGTATAATCGCGAAAAAAGATTATAATAGATTCATCATTATAGACAAGCTTCGTAGCTTTGCGCGCGTGATTTATGACTTACCTCGAGGAGTGTTGCAGATCTTCGTAACCAGGGGATTCAAGATCTTGACAAGAGAGGTGTATGATGATATGATTAAGTGCCTTCTGCTAGTAGCCATCTGTATCATCTGTCTGAAACCTTGACGTTGGGTTGCGACAACAAAGATTTCCACGCCAACACCAACTAAAGACTTGGTTGGTCGTACAAACCTGTCTGCGGATACACCACCCGTCAGTACAATAAGGACTCTCTTTCTACCACACTGGGGTCTTCCTGTAAACAGGTATCTCTTGGCGTAGTTGAGCGCACTTCCGGTTCGTCTGCGTCCTCGCATGATCCTGATTCGTCCTAAGATCCGGTCAACACTGTGACGTCCCCTAGCTTGTACCATGCTGATAAGACGTCTTTGCCTAGATGAGTAGATTACTACTCCGACACGCGTTTGTCGTGACGACACAACAAAACGTCTGACCATTTGTTTCACAAACATGCGGATAGATTGAATGTTCTTTCTGCCAACTCGAGAAGA